TCAGAAAGGAAACCAATTGTATTGAAACAGTTCTAAAAATATATTTGAAAAAGCTCATGGATCCCAGGCCAATAACTTCTATACTGGAGTGATGCTTTTCTAAGTTGGGAAATCTGTTATTCTCGTCTTTAAACAGATGATAAGAAACCTTTTCCATGGCCTCCTCAGTCCTGGAATTCTTGGGCAGAGGAGAAAAGGACCTGCTGTCTTGATATCCTGAGCTCTCTCTCAGTGCCTGCTCTAGGTGGGTGCTTAATAAAAACTTGATGTTGAATCTAAGTGATTGAAGTTTGTGGGGATGTTTTAATGAATCTGCAAAAAAAAAAAAAGTCCCCAGTCCTTGCCAGGGGAATCCTAATGTCCCAAGTGACTCTTAGTGACTCCCAATAATTCCAGTTTCCTAGGAACTCTGTCTCTATCTTTTGTCTCTGTCGCCCTCTTTTTGTCTCTGTCACACACACACACACACACACCCACACCCACAGAGAAGATGATCATGGTTTGTAGATCTGGAGTTGGACAGGACCCTAAGAGTCATCTAAATGAAGTTCTTCATTTTCCAGATGAAAAAGGCACAGGATACACCTTGCCTAAAGTTGTGCACACAAGCATTCCGATCATACACTTCCCATCGTAGGCTCCTAGATGTTGACCTGGAAGGCACTTCAGAGGCTGTTTAGTCTAATCCCCTCATTTTACAGAGGAGGAAACTGAGGCCAAGGGACATGAAATGACAAGTGGTCAGTAAGTGTCCGAGGTCAGATTTTGAACTCAGATCTTCTAAATTCCAGAGCCAGCACTGTTTCTGTGCTCAAACTCATGGCCTGCAAGCAGGTAAATATCTGAGAAATAATAGATTGGAAAAAGAGGTGGTTACTTAGGCTTTTATTAATCAAAAATATTTTTATATTTTGCCAACATTTTGAGATATTAAAAAAACAACAACCTCATAATAGATTACAAAGAAGACAATACAAATGCCTTACTTTGAATGCTTGGATCTGTCCAATTATCAGTACATCTATGGGAAGGCGTGTGTTTCTTAGTTCTTTCCCTATTCCTGCTTTGTTCCTCTTAGTAATAAAGTCTCTTACGCTTTTGGTGAAGTTTCCTGATATGCCGAAGGAGACTTTTTTTTTTCAGTTTAAGAACCTTGTAGGCTAAACAGTTCTTTCTTTTGCCTAGATCCCTTTTGTTCCCCATGTGTCAATTAGCTTTGTTTACTGGCCTCATGAGACCTGGGAAGCATCCGATCACACCACCTGATTTTAACAATGTGTAAAATAAAAATTCCACATACATTGTGTGATTTTCCACCATTGTTCCTGAGTCACTCTTCTTAGGCTACAAAGTCTGCATTTTGGCCATAAGTTGTCAAGATAGTTTGTGTGAAGTGTGTGGCAGCTTCTCTGCTACAATAGAGTCACCTTTTAGTGGGCCATCCTTGTTTTCAGTTTGGCCAGGATCCCATGAAGGAACAGTGCCATCAGAAACAAAAAAGGGCTTCTTCTTAATTTCTGTATCACCAGGCCCCCTTCTTGTCTTCTGGTGTTGCCTCTGAAGGAATGAAGGGGGAAATAACAGCTATTGGGAGGCTAGTCACCCCCTCCCACCAAAAAAAAGACTATCTTTGTCGTTGCTGACAGCTGGTGGCTTCTTTCTGAAAAGCTTTCAAATCATAGATCATTCCTTCATAATGAAACCTGTGTGGCTCGAGTACAGTGGGTTGAAATTCTTATCTTGTGCCACAGTGAAATGCTCTAATTTAGATTCACAAAAGGATTCTGTACCCTTTACTTAGAAGAGCTGTGCAATTTACCCATAAAAAGACTGTTCAGCACCATTAGTGCATGCCGTAAGTGTTCAGAGGCTTCATCCTTATTAAACACCATATCCTTATGCATAACCTTTTCAACCCTGAGGATGTTTGCTTCCTTTGAAGAATGACAAGTGAAAAAAGGGGTGAGGGAGCCCCAAAGCAACATTGTTGCCTCCAAAAGAATGAACTTGGGAACTTCGGCTTGTCCCTGTCTTCGCCCTCTCCCCCCAATCTACTCCATCTTCCCTCTAAACTATGATCTTGTGTTGAATTTCTTCTCACTGGTGGAAGTCCCTCCTTAGACTCGTACAATGGACAAGGGAACTCACCGTGGTTCTTAATCCTTAATAATAAGGGTTCTTGATCTCAATGCCACATGGCATTATGGTACTAGCAGGGACACCCTTCAGGGTGAAGCTCAGAGTATACAAAGATCCTTAAAAAAATTTTTGTGCCAAATATTGAGGACTTCTTGTCTTGACCATTTTTTTTTATTTTGTTGGTTTTACAATATCTGTTTTCCTTACAATCTGAATTGTAGGATCTGGAGAAAACTTTGGGGATTCTACAGATCGAGTCTGATTTTTTCATTCATTTTATGGAGAAGAAAACTGAGACTCAGGGAGATAAATGACTGGCAGAGATAACACAAGTAGTAGTAACAGAGACTATGTCCCAGCCCAGGTCTTCTGATCAGGGTTTTTTTTCTACTGTCCCATTCCGGTTTGGGAGATTCTCAGAGCTGCAAGAGAGGTCAGCAGTCATCTAGCCTGACTAGAATCCCTTCTAAAATGTCCCCTTCAAATTACCATCCATTCTGTGCTCGAAGATCCCAGCTGAGAGAGATAAGCGTCATCGAGGTAGCAGATAGCAGGTTTTTGCGTCAATTGTAGAAAAAGTTGCTTCCCCCAAACTTCCCTCTGTTGGTTCCCTTTCTGCCTTTGGATGCCAAAACAAACAAACAAACAAACAAAAAAAAACGAAACAAAAACAAAACAAAACAAAACAAAAAAGAAAAAAAAATCAAAAAAACGTACACACACACACACAAAACCAGAACAGATCTAATTCCTGTTTTACATGACTTTAGATACTTTAGGTACTTTAGATGCTTGAAGGTAGCTACCATGATCCGCTCGAGTCTTCTCTATACCAGGTTAAACTCCTCTTGTTCCCTCTTGTTCCTTTAACTTGTCCTTTACAGAAGAGTTTTTAGTTATAGAAATAGCTAGGTGAACAGAGTTCTGGGCCTGTAGTCAGGAAGCCCTGAATTCAAATGCGACCTGAGATACATAATAGCTGTGTGACCCTGAGCAAATCACTTAACCTCTATCTGCCTCAGTTTCCTCAACTGTAAAATGGGCATCATGATAGCACCTATTTCCTAGGGTTGTCGTGAGGATTAAAGGAAATAGTATTTGTAAAATGCTTAACACAGTGCCTGGCACATGGTAGATGCTTAATAAATTCTTCCTCCCTCCCTTCCTTCCTTCTCTCCTTCTCTCCTTCCTTCCTTCCTTCCTTCCTCCCTCCCTCTCTCCCTTCTTTTCCTCCTTTCTTCCCTCTCCCTCCCTCCCTTCCTTCTTTCTTCTCTTCCCTTTTTCCTTTCTTCCTTCTTCCCTCCCTCCCTTCTCTTCTTTCTCCCTTTCTTCCCTCCTTCCTTCCCTCCCTTTCTTTTTTGCTTCCTTCCTTCCCTCCTTTCTTCCTTTCCTCCCTCTTTTCTTCCCTCCCTCCCTTCCTTCCTTCTCTTTTTTCTTCCCTTCTTCCCTCCCTTCCTTTTTTCCTTCTATCCTTCCTTCTCTTCTTTCTCCCCTTCTTCCCTCCTTCCTTCCCTCCCTTTTTCCTTCCTTCCTTCCCTCCTTTCTTCCTTTCCTCCCTCTTTTCTCCCCTCCCTTCCTTCCTTTCTTCCTTCCTTCCTTCTTTTCTTTCTGCCCTTCTTCCCTCCTTCCTTCCTTCCCTTTCTTTTTTCCTTCCTTTTTCTTCCTTCCCTTCCTCCCTCTTCCCTCCCTCCCTCCCTTCCTTCTCTTTTTTCTTCCCTTCTTCCCTCCTTCCCTCCCTTCCTTTTTTCCTTCCATCCTTCCTTCTCTTCTTTCTCCCCTTCTTCCCTACTTCCTTTCCTTCATTTCTTCTTTCCTTCCTTTTTCTTCTTTCCTTCTTACCTTCCCTTCCTCCCTCCTTTCTTTCCTCCCTGCCTCCCTCTCCCTTCCTTTTTTCCTCTCTCTCTCCCTTCCTTCCTTCTGTCCTTCCTTCCCTTCTTCCCTCCTTCCCTTCTTTCCTTCCTTACTTCTTTCCTTCCTTCCTTCCCCATCCCGAGTGCCCTCCTCTGGACATGTTCTAGTTTGTCGATGACCTTCCTAAATTGTGGCACCCAAGAACTGGACACAGTAAACTGGGTCTTACCCTGCCTGAAGGTAGTTTGACTATCGTCTCACTCCTCCTGGACGCCGTGTCTCTTAACGCAGCCTCAGGTCACACTGGCTGGCTGGCCATAGCATGGTGTTGAACTTTCAGGCCGTTGGAATCCCCAGGTCATTTTCACAGTAGCTCTTGTCTAGCTCTGTCTCTCCTGTCTGTAGCTGAGAAACTGATTTGCTGCTCTTATTTTGGGGTTGGAAGATGAGACTCCCCTTTTGCCATATGTCATTAATTACTCTAGTGTGATGGTTCTTAACTTGGGGTTTGTGAACTTGCTTTTAAAATGTTTTAATAATGGCATTTCTATAGAATTAATTTCCTTTGTAATCCTATGCATTTTATTTTATGCATTTAAAAGTATGATTCTGAGATTTCCTCAAACTGCCCAAGGGGTCCATGACATAAGAAAGGTTAAGAACTCCAGCTCCATCAGCAAAATACTTGTTCTCATGATTTTTTGTTGCTCTGCCTTTGTGAAGATGGCCTGTATTCACCCACAGGGATTATCTCTGAGTAAACGGTACAATAGAAAAAGGTCTGGCCCTGGAGTCAGGAGCCCTCCTTGAGTCTCAGTTTCTTCCTCTGGAAAATGAAGAATTGGCTTTGATGGCTCCCGGGATCCTTTCCACCTCTAGATTGGTGTGTGGGAGAACCACCATTTATACACACTAGTTGGGTGTCTTAGGCTCAACATGCCTTTGTGCATCTTGCCCACTTGCGTGTAAGAATGTTCCTAGACATGCCCAATCTCTTCTCTCCCCTTTAGGTACCCCTGAGAGTCTGGCAGAGAAAGAACGGCAGCTCTCCACCATGATCACCCAGCTGATCAGCTTACGGGAGCAGCTCCTGGCTGCACACGATGAGCAGAAAAAGCTAGCCGCCTCCCAGATTGAGAAGCAGAGGCAGCAGATGGACCTAGCTCGCCAGCAGCAAGAGCAGGTGAGGCACCCAGATAGGAGGTTGACCTGCCCGCTCCTGGGCTTGGTCCCCGTACAAAGGGCTGGGTGTCACCTGGATCAGCTTCGTGACGGTGGGGGGGGGATGTGGGCACAGTGACCTTCTGCAAACGTCATGCCCGCACATCAGAACCTGTTGAGGTTTTTTGCGGGGGTGTCATTTGTGGTCAAAGGAAAGAGTCCATCAGCCGGACAAAGTAGCTGTAACATGCATTATTGTAGAATAATGGGGCCAGTGTACTAGATTAACGATGGTGGGGAGTCAGTCGCTTTGGAATAGTTCTCCCTGTAGGTATTTGGTACACTTGCCTTTTATTAGCACAGGTGACTTTTTCAAGCCAAATTCCCATACTTTTTTTCCAAGATTGTGAAAATTTACTTTCTCAAGGACCTATGAACTTGAACCATGGAGCTCAGCTGAAGTCCTCCCGGTTTTAAAAACTGTCTGTAAACTAGTCAAAAGGAAACAAGAGGAATAATAAAGTTTAAACTATGTCATTTTAAAGGTAGTCACTTTCCCAAACGCTCTATACGTCTCATTAGAGTGCAGTAATCTTAACAACAGTGATTCCATGGAGCAGTCCTATAGGCATTAGATCAGACAGACCCAAATTAATGTGCAGTTTTTAGGAATCTGACATTATTACTGGAATTATCTTTTCAGTTAAATGTATTTTATAGGGGTATATAGAGCAATATATGCTCTGTTGATTTTAATGAGTTGTGACGTCTGGTATTTTATGTGCTTGAATATTTGCCCACATGTAGGAATATGGACTCAGCCCCTAATGGAAAATAACATAAAGGAAGACTGTAAAAAATCAGAAGTTAGAATGTCATTTAGCCATCCAGAGATGACACAGTAATTAACTATTGACACTTGTGAATAAGCTAGCACAAATTAATCTTGACACATTTGCAGACGAGTGATATCTTACAGTGAACACTTTGTAATTATATTTCAAAATGAAAATTAAATGACACTTAAAACTAGGTTGTCATGCCCAATGAAGCGAGCATGTATCTCAGCCGATTGGCAAATAAAATTCAGAATTTGAGCCACATGGTGCTTATGTCCCATACTTCACTGTGTCAAGCCTATACATCCAGAGTGGATGATGGTAATTGCACTGTGGTGTTTGGGATGCATTTCTATGCATCACTTTATCACTTAGGAGGTACCATCAATATTAGATGCCTGGTGGTGTTTCACTGGTTTCCAAGCAGGAAATAAATATTCAGAGGCCCTAGCATCAAACCAAGAGCTGCAGTGTGAGCTGTGCTCCAGTGATTTGGACTGTGTCAAGGACAGCTGGCTGTGTCCATGGGCTGAAGTGGAATCCTTTCCTTTCCCTTCTCCCACTCCCACTGAGTTACCCTGGCCCAAGCTCCACCTGCCCTGCTCCTAGGGCGACAGCCCACCATTGAAGCAACTCTTGGGTCCTGGGCAACACTTCTCTGCCAGCCATCTCCCTGGGAAGGTGATTATTTGCTTCCTTCTTCTTGGGAGGCCTGGGGAGTGCGGCCCAGGACTAAAGCTCTGTCCCTTCCATCTCCTAGATCCACAATGTCCCTAGAATACAGGTCCAGCCACTTTCTGTTTTAGGGCTGAGAAATAGGCAGACAAGTCGTGTGCTCTTTCCTGAAGAGCACCTTTAAAGCCAAGGGCCACCTTGGACCTGCTCCCTGCCCTGCCCATGGTTCTCCGCTGCAGCCGGACCTAGAAGGGAGCTTCCTCTTGCCACTGAGTTGCCTTCAAGACTTAAAGCTGCAACAATACGATATTTGAGATAATATGCAGCCTGCTATCTAGCCTGTGCTTTGTGGTAAGCACCATTATCCCAATGAAGTTGTTTGGCCCCCTCATGGAGAGCATCCAGCCATAGGTAGACTGTTTCTATATACCAGAAGATGTTTTCAGGCATGGAATCCAATTTTCTAACCAGGAAAAAGAATAGAGTGTCTGTTTGGGAATCCCCATATGGATGATAAGACTAACTCACTCCCTGTAGGAGCGAATGAGTGATTCTGTAAGGCAGAAACCTGAGAAATCTTTTACCTGGAAGTTTAGGTCTTTAAGTAGCTCACTTCACTATATATGTATATATATATATATATATATATATATATATATATATATATGTGTGTGTGTGTGTGTGTGTGTGTGTGTGCGTGTGCGTGTGCGTGTGTATTATATATACATACATGTGTATGTATGTATACATGTATCTATATCCATATATCCATATATGCATGTACATGTATATATTCATCCATACATGCATATAGAAATATGTATACATGCATGTATATACACATAAATACATATACAGTGGTATAGTGAATAGAGTATTGGCCTCAGTTTCAGGAAGATCTAGGTTCAAGTCCTGCCCCTGATACTAGCCTAGCTATCTGATGCTGGACAAGTTCTTTTTTTTTATTTTATTTATTTTTTTAAGACCTCTTTTTTACTCTCTCTGTATTGTCATACAATCGTAGATTTTGAACTAAAATCGTCAGTTTAGTCCATTTTTTTTTAGTTTTCAACATTTACTTCCACAAGATTTTGAGTTCTAAATTTTTACCCCATCTCACCCCTCCCCCCACCCCAAGATGGCATGCATTCTGAATACCCCTTCCCCTAGTCTGCTTTCCCTGCTATCTCTCTCCCCCTTCCCCTTCTATTTTCCTGTAGGGCAGGATAGATTTCTGTATCCCACTTCCTGTATTTCTTATTTCCCAGTTACATGTAAAAACATTTTTTTAAACATGTATTTTTAAAACTTTGGGTTCCAAATTTTCTCCCTTCCTCCCTCCCCACCCACCCTCATTGAAAAGGCAAGCTATACATGTGCAGTTATGCAAAACATTTCCATAGCAGACATGCGATGAAAAACTAATTCTATTTCCCTTAATCCTATCCCACTCCCCCATTTATTCTATTCTTTCTTTTGACCCTGTCCCTCCTCAGAAGTATTTGCTTCTGATTACCCCCTTTCCCAATCTGCCCTCCTCTCTATCATCCCCCTACTCTCTTGTCACCTTCCCCTCCTATTTTCCTGTAGGGTAACATAGATTTCCATACTCCATTGTGTATGTTATTCCCTCCTTAAGTCAAATCCTATGAGAATAAGATTCACTCATTCCCTGTCACCTTCCCCATTTCCCCTCCGCTGTAAGAGCCTTTTCTTTTCTGTTTTTTTCTTGTGTGAGATAATTTACCCCATTCTACCTTTTCCTTTCTCCTTCTCCTAGTATAATCCTCTCTCACCCCTTAATTTTATTCTCCAGATAAGACGCTTTCATCTTCAACTCACCCTGTGCCCTCTATCTATCTATCTATCTACATACATATAATTTTTTCCCTCCAACTACCCTAATGCTGACAAAGGTCTCATGAGTTACAAATATCATCTTTCCATGCAGAAATGTAAACAGTTCAACCTTAATAAGTCTCTTATGATTTCTCTTTCCTATTTACCTCTTCATGTTCCTCTTGAGTCTTGTATTGGAAAGTCAAATTTTCTATTCAGCTCTGGTCTTTTCATCAAGAATGCTTGAAAGTCCTCTATTTCACTGAATGACCATTTTTTCCCCTGAAGAATTATACTCAGTTTTGCTGGGTATGTGATTTCTGATTGTAATCCTATCTTCTTTGCCCTCTGGAATATTATATTCCATGCCCTGTGATCCCTTAATGTAGACGCTGCTAAATCTTGTGTTATCCTGATTGTGTTTCCACAACACTTGAATTGTTTCTTTCTGGCTGCTTGTAATATTTTCTCCTTGACCTGGGAACTCTGGAATTTGGCTACAATATTCCTAGGAGTTTTCTTTTGGGGATCTCTTTCAGGAGGAGATTGGTGGATTCTTTCAATTTCTATTTTGCCCTCTGGTTCTGAAATTTCAGGGCAGTTTTCCTTGATCATTTCCTGAAAGATGATGTCTAGGCCCTTTTTTTGATCATGGCTTTCAGAGAGTCCAATAATTTTTAAATTCTCTCTCCTGGATCTATTTTCCAGGTCAGTTGTTTTTCCAATGAGTTATTTCACATTGTTTTTTAATTTTTCATCCTTTTGGATTTGTTTTACAGTGTCTTGATTTCTCATAAAGTCACTAGCTTCCAATTGCTCTATTCTAATTTTTAGGGAAGTATTTTCTTCAGTAATCTTTTGGACTTCCTTTTCCATTTGTCCAATTTTGCTTTTTAGGGCATTCTTCTCCTCATTGGCTTTTTGGACCTCTTTTGCCATTTGGGTTAGGCTATTTTTTAAGGCGTTATTTTCTTCAGTATTTTTTTGGGTCTCCTTTAGCAAGCTGTTTACTTGCTTTTCATGATTTTCTTGCATCACTCTCATTTCTCTTCCCAGTTTTTCCTCTACTTCTCTTACTTGCTTCTTCAAATCCCTTTTGAGCTCTTCCAAGGCCTGAGACTGATTCACATTTTTCTTGGAAGTTTTGGATGTAAGAGCTTTGACTTTGTTTTCTTCTTCTGGTTGTATGTTTTGATCTTCTTTGTCACCTAATTAAGATAATATAGTCTGACTCTTTTTGCACTGCTTGCTCATGATCCCAACCAATTACTTGAGTTTTAAACTCTTTGTTAAGGTAAGAGTCTGTTTCCAATGTGGAGAATGTAGTGTCCCAAGCTTCGGGGGTTTGTACAGCTGTTGTCAGAGATACTTCTAGGGACCTGTAAATTTTCAGTTCTTCCAAGGTGCTATGATAAGGGGTGAGGTGTTTTCTCTCCACCACCACAACAAGCTCCACCACTCCAGTGCTCCTCCTCGCCCCAGGACTGCCCCTCAGAGCTGTGACCCAGATCCAAGCACTGGCAAAGCAAGAGATTCCTGCCTCCTCCTAGCAAAGAGATCCTTGCAATCCCCCTCTGATCAGCCACTCGATTCCCCCTCACTCTGTGGGCCAGACACAGTCGTTGCCCCGAGGGCACGCTCTGGACTTGTGGCTGAGACCTAGCTCCTCTCTCACCGCAGTCACAGACTTTTCCCACTAACCTTCTAAGTTGTCTTTGGCGTTCGTGGGTTGAGAAGTCTGGAAACCACTACAGCTGCCCGCGATTCAGTCCGCCAAGGCCTGCACACCCACGCCAAACTGCGCTCCTCTTCCAGCCCGGCGCGATGTACGTTTCCGATAAGCCATCCAGGTTGTCTTGGGCTGGAAATTTGTTTTACTCTGTCTTTTTGTGGGTTCTGCTGCTTTAGAATTTGTTTAGAGCCATTTTTTATAGGTATTTGGAGGGGTTTGGGGGACAGCTCTAGCCAGTCACTGCTTTCCCTCGCCATCTTGGCTCCACCCCCAGGACAAGTTCTTTAACCAACCCCTTGATTCACTCCGCATTTCTCTTAGACTATACATTGCAGACTCCCTTTATTTGGTAGAGGCAGTTTCCTTACCAGGAGTTGCTTATACTAATGAAGTTTCTATCTCTGTCTCTCTCTGTCTCTCTCTCATTCTCTCTTTCTCCCTCTCTCTCTCATCTGTCTCTATATCAAATATGTCTATATATCTAGGTTGTACAGTGGCTAGAGCTCTGGACCTTGAGTCAGGAAGACCTGAGTTTAAATCCAGGCTCTGACATTAACTAGCTGTGAGACCACGAACAAATCACTTAACTTTTGGCTGCCATGGTTTCTTCATCTGTAAACTGTTTGAAGTGTTATAAGAATAACTTCTACCTCCCAGGGTTGTTGTGAGGATAAAATGAGATAATTACTTGTAAAATTCTTTGCAAACCTTAAAGCTCTATATAAATGCTAGCTATCATTGTTAGTGTTATTATTTTGCTTAAGCCTATATGAATGAATGAAGCATTAATAAGCACTCATGTCCAAAGCATTGTGCTATGTGCTGAGGAGAAAAAATAGAGAAGAAAATAACCTCTGTTCTTAAAGACCTTATATTGGAATGGAGCTATATTCTACTTATATATAGGTGTTGGGGACAGATGCTTTGGGTATTCCTGTGGCAACTTTTGTTTGATTTTTCAGTTCTTCTGAAGATTATGTCTGATAGGTGCTGAAAAAGCCAGAACTCTGTCTCTAACTCCCATTTTGAATCTGGAGAGATTTTGTAGCAAAGCCACTCACTTTCCTAACTCTTACTTCTAGTTTCTGCTTTCTCAGCCCAAATTAATCTCATTAGAAAAGTATAGCTGGAATTTTACAGTTTTACAGTCTTCCCTCTCTAAGGGCCAGAATTTCAAATTCTGGACCTTTCAAGATGACAGGTGTGGGTCCAGGTGATATGATGCATCTGCAAACCCCCCTCTGAAGCAGTGGTGCTCATCTGCCCATAGCGATTTAGGAGTCAGCAGAGAGATGGCACCAGGTTGGGATTTGTCCTTTGCTCCACCTTTCCTGGGCTGCCTCACTCTCTTTCCAGTAGCCCTTGCCCACGGAGGTGCAATAAAACATTGTTCGGATGCCAGGAGATGTACCTGAGGTGATGCTTGGGGTTTAAACACTTCATTGTAACTTAACGAAACTTTCTTTCTGACAGATTGCGAGGCAGCAGCAGCAACTTTTGCAACAGCAGCACAAAATCAATCTCCTGCAGCAGCAAATTCAGGTCAGTGTGTTTTATGACTCTCATCTGATTGCACTTCCATACTCGCCCTCCTGAAGATGGAGTTTCCCAGGTTGCAGACATGCCCCTCTCTTTCAAGGAGCAGCTGCAAGAGTTGCACTTACCCAAAGTCAGCATGCATGAGTTTCCAAGTGACTCTAGGCCATGTCGGACCCTCTAGGGGTCTAACAACACTTGCAGATTTTTTGATGATGTCCTGGGCTCCTCTGAGAAGTCAGTGGAACAAACCTTGTTGCTTTTCCTCCCATCATTTGCCTGACATGGTGTTACACCAATTTACCCAGAAGTATGTGGCGTTTCCATGCTCTCATCCCCACCTCTTTCTCCTTGGTGTTTTACCATATCTGACATCGTTAGGGTTTGTGATTTGCTTGTCATCTGGGTTGTGTGAGACACTGCTCTACCCAGATTTCCAGAATTTTTCTTTTTCCTGGGTACCTGAAGTGGTTTGATTTGACCATCTCCCATATCACACGGGCTTATGAACAAGAAGAATGCAGGTTGTGATTCTGACCTTGCCCATTCCAGGTATTCATTTCTTCTTGAGGACTTACTATTAATTTAGTAATTTGATTATGGACAGGGCACTCTGTTGGGTAAGAAACTGAATAAGGCATAATTCTTGTCTTCAAGGAACTTTCAGTCTGGCCTAGAAAGAGAGATAAAATGAAAAGCCCTTAGAAATGTAAGTAAAGGCACAAGTATTCAAGCATTGAACACCTGCTTCTCTCCTCCCCTGACAGGAAGGATGAATAAAGACTTGGGATGGTTAGATGGTTGGGATGGAAAGGATTTTCCCTTTCTAGAAATGGGTACTGAAAAAACTGGTCAATGTGATTGCTGAGCCACTGTCAGTGATATTTAAAAGACTCCAGAAAATAGGAAAGCTCCAACTGGTCTACAGATATTTTCCTAATTCGAGAGAGAGAGAGAGAGAGAGAGAGACAGACAGACAGACAGAGAAAGAGAGGTTGAGAGTCTATGAACTGAAAGCCTGACTTAATTTCCTGGGAAATTTCTAGAGTGAGTCATTGGAAGAATGGTTAGTGAGCATCTAGAAAAAGGAAGTGGTGATTATAAAACCCTACCTGGCTTTGTTCTAAAAACGGGCCCTATCAGACTGACCTTTTTTTATTTTTTTCCAATTTGCTATAAATATAGTTAGTCTAAAATTTAGCAAAGCACTTGATCAAGTGTCTACTACTATTCTTGTGCAAAAGACGGATATGGACAAGACTGGTTGAATGGCTGGACTCGAAGAATGATTATTGATGGTTCAATGTTAGCTTGGCAAGGAGGTCTCCAGTAGGTGATCTGTACTTATCCTGTGCCATTTATTGTTTTTGTCAATAATTTAGATAAAGGTATAAATGAATGAGTCAATGAATGGAGCATCATTTAATACATGCTAACTGTGCATAGCACTGTGCTAAGCCCTGGGACTACAAATAGAAAAATCAAGACAGTTCCTGCCCTCAGAGAGTTCACATTCAAACCAGGGGAGACAACATATAAAATTCTATGGAATGTTCATAAAATTCGTAGATGATCCAAAGCTGGGAGGGCTAGCTAAAACACTGAATGGCAGAGTCAGGATCTACAAAGATCTTTGACAGGCTAGACTGCTGGGCTGAACCTAATGAGATGGAATTTAGGAAAATAAGTAGTGAGCCTTACACACGGGTTCAGAAATCAACTTCACAAGTATGAAGAGAGGACAGTCAGCTGTTGAAAAAGGACCTGGTTTGGTTTGTTTTGTTTTTGTTTTTTGCTATCTAACTTATATTTAAGCAGTTTTGAGGAATTCTCTCTATCACAAGGCAGCCCACTCAGTTGTTGGACAGCTCTTATCACCCAAATTGTGTCCCTGTGACTTCCTCTGGAACACATGGAATGAGTCCCACCCTTACACCCCTTGACTTGTGGGAAGACAAGGAATATAGATTCCCCTTAAGTGTTCCCTAGGTTAGGAGTTCTCTGTTCCTCCAGCTGATCCTCATAAATCATGGTTGTTCAGACCCCTAATCATCCTAGTCCTTTTCCTTTTAATGTGCTCAGCCTTGTCAGTAGTCCTATTAAAATGTGGCGTTTAGAACTCAACACAAAACTATGTATCAGGGCAGTGCATTACAGTTATTGGCACATCAGATGAGCTCCTCTATCCAATGACTGTTCAGCATTTCAGCCAAATGTTTCTTTAGTCTTAATCTTGTATTCCATGCTTACAAATATGATTAGCCCAGATGCAGGATGTCTAAATGTGGGAGAATTGTATTTCATGTTGGGATCTTGCCTGTCTGTCTTTACAATTAAATCTTGTTATAATTTTTGATGGTAACCATCTCATGATTCCTACTGAGTTTCTTAAACAACTGTTCAGGTGTTCTTTTACACCAGACTTACTAAAACTGTCAGTGCCTTTCCTACTGCAGAGGTCAGGACTTTCAACCTTTCACGTTCTGCATTTTCCTCTCTGGATCACTTCGTAAGCACACAGTAAGTGTTAAACGATCCAATAGCTATTTACTCTTTATGACCCTCCTATTTGCCAAGTAAAAATGGAAGTGTCTCTCTGAGATGGCCGCATTTCAGTTAGTTTCTTACTGTTGCTCCTTGGCCGCTGCCCTTATTAGTTTTATTACTCCCAGATTTCCAATATTTTACTCCTCATCCCAGCATTATGTTGCTTGGACTTCAACTGGCCTTCCTAATTAATGTTTGTAAATGGCTCTGAGGACCTCAGATGAAAGGAACCAAGTAAGTCTGAGGCATTATTTATGAACTATTATTAGTATTTATTACCTGCATATAATTGTATAGTTATTAGTCTGTGACATGAAATGGATCTTTTTTTCATGAAACTGTTAAACTTAGTCATGCAGTAGAACTTCCTAATGGCTATTCAGTTTAAAAAGGAGGGGTAAACCTTTTGTTTCCTTGCTTTCTAGCAAAAAAAACCACATTTTTCTTAAAATTAGGAACTTTATCAGAATTTAAGGGAAAAAATCAAACAAATCAGTCTTTGAAATCCTCATTATGGTCCACTCCCTAATTATGGAAAGCCAAAGCTACATACTACTTAAATATGACCCTGCTGGTTTGTTACAGTGCTTCTAGGGCTGGTCTAGAATTCACCTTGTATTTTTATGAAGCACCAGGATCCTACGCTCATTTTCTTAACTGTTAAGTCATTCTACTGACATGCTTGGAGAACGTCCACAGTTGTCCATCCCATTTCCCAATGAGTATGGTCAAAGTGCTACGGTCCTGTTCATCTTAGCAATGTCAGACTGTTTCTAGCAGCATCTTGTGCTTGATGAAGCAAGAGAAAATAAAAGACCTCCTAGCTGTAGTTCTTTATGTCTTCAACAACTCCTCATCTCTTTTCAGCATTTATCTTATCACTGTGAGACCATGCAAGGAATTTTTCAAATGTGGAAAACACCCACTCCTTACACAGAATTTATCAATGTCTCAGACAGTAACAGAGTAGGTATTTACTATATCAAACTATCTTGCTTTCTAAGTGACTAGAAGGCTCACACTTTTTAACCTTTTTTTTAAAACTAACCACCAAATGGACAAATATAGATTAGAAATGTTAACTGTGCTAATTTTAACATAAAATATCCCATTTATGCCCACAATATTAGCAGGGAATCTTTAGGATACGTTGTTTTAGAGATTAATTTCACTCAAAAGAAAAATTAAGCCTCTCCTTGATTTGAAATCAACAGGCCTGGGTTCTAACACCAGTTCTGCTACTTACTCTGCATGGCTGAATGAGTCATTAGCCTCAGAAGTTCTTATCTTTTTTGTTCCATGGAACCCTTTGGCAGTCCAGTGAAGCTTGTGGGCTCCTCAGAATAATGTTTTGAAATGCATGAAACAAAGTACATTGAATTACAAAAGAAATCAATCATGTTGAAATATGTTTATTAAAAATAATAATTAAAAGTTCACAGACAACAGGTTAAGAGCCCTTGGTTTGGGGCAGCTAGATGGTACAGTGGATAGAGCACTGGCCCTGAAGTCAGGAGGACCTGAATTCAAATCTGACCTCAGAACAAGCACTTGACACTTACTAGCTGTGTGACCCTGGGCAAGTCACTTAACCGAGATTGCCTAACCAAAATAAACAAATTAATTAATTAATTAATAGAAGAAGAGAAGGCCTAGGGGGAGGAGGAGGGACAGGGATGGTATTGAAGTTGCTGTCACATGGAAGAGGGACTAGACTTTCTAATGTTGGAAGTAGTAACTTTTAGGCCTGATTTTAGGTAAAAACAACTTTCTAACAGAATTATCTCAAAGTGGAATATACTGCCTTAGAAGGTGGCAGACTCTTCCCCCACTGGAGAGCTTGAAAAGTTCTTCTTCTTGTGTGGTTTGGACTAAAGCACCTTTGAATTCTGGTATTCTGTGATTCTGTGAAACTTTGAGTGAATTCCTAGCAAGATAGCATCCTGTAATAGGGAGAAAACAGCAACAGCAAGCAACCAAACACTTGTCTTGAGAATCAGAATCCTAGTTTAAATCCTGTCTCTGACTTTTAATATCTGTGTGACCTTGGGCAACTGACTGAAGCTCTATGAACCTCTTTACTCACCCCCAAAAATGGGGGTAATGCTTTCACTACACACAATATATGTTTATACAAACACATAGATATGTATAGATAATGTATATTTATATGTGTATATATGGACATATACATACATACACATATATATGTATGTGTGTGTATATATATATCTCTCTCTCTCTATATATAGATATATATATATACACACACACACATATATTTTATGTATCTGTCCATCCACAGGAATATGGATAGTTTGGCAGGTATTTTGAGAGTGAACTTTCAAGGTTCCTTTCTCCTTTGAAAAAAAAATAGTGACTGTCCCAGAACACATGATGGAAATTGAGTAACTTTTTCTCAATAAGTCTGAAAAATCTTAGGAAGATATTTTTCCCCC